GAAATAGTAAATCATTTAATTGAGATATGAAAGGGGACACGTGTCTACTACATCATATCCAAAATCCAAGGATATTTGTTGATTACCGGATGCATTGAACATATAAACTTAGATAAACTAAGGTTGTTGCCTGGAAGTTATCATAGATGTTATGTTATGTTATAAATTATGTTATGTTATGTACTCTTTATTTTTTACAGATAACTGTTCATACGATGCGAATTGTACAACCAAGAATGACGGTTTTCAGAAGGCAGACTCATCGTCATCAACTGCTTTCAAGAGAGCGTTCAAAGATCTACTAGAAGACAAAATCTTTTCTGCAATGAATGCAAGACGCCGATGAAAATAACACTGTGCTTTTTGAATACAAGGACGAGGTCAATGCACTTTGCATACGATTGTTTCACGCACTTGTTCTTACTTTTGGCAATGGTATACATTATACAAGTTATTTTTATTTGTTTTCAATTCTAGACTACATAGAGTTATATACAAACAATATAATCTCAACACGGTCTAGTCCAATAGAATTCCAATTTGCATATGATAATTATGAAATATGTTTTATCCTCGAGTGAGAAAACGATTCAGAATACACAAGTTACATTTCGTTGGATGTCAGACAGGATTCGTAATTTCAATTTCTTACAAATTGATTCTGCCAAAATAGTATTAAATGTAGTATTGAATCTAAAATTCTATTATTCAAGTATCTCGATACCTGGTATAGTTAGTAAAATAGTTAGTGAATAGGTTAGTTAGTAGGTTAAAAGAAGTAGTCAACATATTTAAAACTGCAACGATGGAAGTGTATATCATCGTTTATATTGTTGAAATTATCACCCCCCCAAAAAAAACTTCATGTGTGCAATTATCAGTAATTTCAGTATTCTGAGTGAAATCGCTACAGTTACTGTGGATTATATCAAGAACGGGCAACACGTCAACTATATGTAAACTGTGCTGCCACGTATCACGCCCGATAAAAAAAGTATTCTGCCTTTGATTCAGACTAGTACTAGGAACGATACATTTATGTTAAGAATCTTAAGTGTGAATACTACAATGACCAATAAAACAATACCCTATTACGTCAGGTTTAAATTTTATTGTATCAAGTTGTGTATGTGTTATAAATGTATGCAATGCACGCAGTTAAAACTCTAGTAAACACTGTCATTTATCTAATGGTTTTGTGAAGATAAACATAACATAACCTGTATTTATTCAAGTTATTGTAAATATTGTTGATCATTATTAAAATGTGCTCAGGCCAACGTCTTCTTTAATATTGTCGCTTCTATTGTTCATGGTGTTTGGATATGGCACGTATATATACGTCTTTGAACAGGTATAAGGGAGGGTCGACGGATAAATATCCAACTTCATAGATGGATACAAAAATGAATCTGTTTGCGATGTAAATAAGCCTATAATCATAGTCAATTTCTGTTTCGAATACTCCTGGCTCAAGTACATAAATAGCGTGTGCTACGTTTAGATCAAGAAGTGTTTAATCATTTCACTTACACTTGGTGCCACATTTTAATGTTTCACTTCTTTTCACTATTTTATCATTAATTTTTTCGGAATGCCAATTTTAAGATTCAATCTTGAGCAGTAATTAAAAGGGCCTACTGGAACTAGGCTCCATATAAGAACTATTAAAGATAAGTTTAAAAACTGTTAAAACTAACAAAAGGGCGACTATTGAAGGCAGCTTTTAAGAGACTCTTTCAGATTTTGGAAAGTGTTTTCTTCTATATATATATGACATTGAATACAGGTTTCTTTATGACTAAAAGACATCTTTGGAAACCGTTTGCATTCAATAGTGTGTTTGATATGATTCTCTTGTCTCTGTAACGTTACTGTACAATAATACACATGATCAACTGTTCTTGATACTGTCAAGTTGACAATTTAAGTGTAAAGGCCGGTTTCTGTACACACGAGTGGGATGGAATTAGTTTTTTAATTTGGATGATTAGTCTGATTACCAGTTGCTATGGTTGAGGAAAATTGCTTGCCGAGTTGGTCATGTTTCCTAAAAGCACAGACACCTAACATCCTTCATCAATATTTTTGACATGCATTTGCTGTTTTTCCTTATTAATGCATTTATGCATATTAATGAGGTAACACAAACACCCCTTCTTCTACTTTACGTTGAATGTTACTGTGTATTGTATTGGCCTAGAACACTTTCTAAATACAGACCCACATTCTATGCAATACGTATGCCTGTGAATATTGATAAATTGTTGAACAAACTCGCATATAAACATGCGTTCATCATATAATCATGCGTGTCCTCCATTATGTTTTACAAAACACAGATCTATCATTGATCACTTTGTACACCTCGTATAAGGAGACCATATAAATGATGGTCATTAAATAGATAAAATTATTATATGTAAATTATGGCCACCTCACATGTATTTCGAAAGTGAGCTAGGCATATTGCACATGTGAAACATACTTAGGAAGTAGAAGTAATTCCGATTGAGATCAGTTGAGTTACAATCTACACCAGGTACATCACACTGTCAATCAATCAGCTCATTGTACTAGTATATCAATGATCAAACCAACTGATACACTGACAGTATTTTTGTTAGTTCATTCAGTTTCGCTTCTGTGCTGTTGTCTAAAAAGTCAAACAATTAAAACATATACTAAAATAAATATTTAGTGCAAAAAGCATTGTATTTAATTTTGATAGTGATAAGGATTACATTTTGGTGTATTCAAAATCGATTTAAGGCTAGTTCTAGGGAAATTCGTCAACTTTACATAGGTTGAAAATATATAATATAATTAATATTGTTGATAATTTGAAAAAACAACGTATCAAAACAAGAAAAACATTTTAAAGTTGCACCTATACAATACGAACGACTCACACTGCGTGGTTAACAGAGTAGCATATAGACTCATAGGTAAAACATATATGCTTTACCCCCTATTTGACTCAAACAAATAAAATCAGGAATCAGTTATCATATCAAAATTAAGACATTCTTATTGTAAACACATGGCATATCCAGTAACTAAGACAACGAAAATGTAATTGGTGATGGATGGATGGATGAATGAATGATAGGCAACCAAGCGTTGTGATTACACTTCACGCAGTGACAGTATATAACCCTCTAGAAAATAGAATGTGATGAATTAGTCGGAATTATCAACCTCAAAGAAAACCTATGTCTACTTAAGCGTGATGAAAATCCTTCAGTGACGTGAAGGCCTGCGCTTTGAGGCAGACTGAAACAGTTCTTCAAAATAATTATGGATGATCATCAAGAGATCAATGAAAGAATCTTCAACGCAATAAATGAATGAGTCTCCACAGACTTTTGAAAAGTACATAATTTGTCTTTTCATATGATAGTTAATACGTATCGCTTCCTTCGACCACGAATGCATTGTCGGAATGAATACTAGTACTCTCTTTGCAATTGCTTATAGGCTTACTTCAAATGCAATTGATTCTAAAACATAGAATAGCACCATGGGGCCTATCTGACTTTAGTCACGTGTTACAAGTTTGTATCATTAGTTTATTGAACTACCCAGCATTTAATTATAATATGAAAACATAGAAAGTGTAAATGACTTAAATGTAGAACTGAATTCACGCGCGTCTAACTGAATGATTCTAGGCAAATAAGACTTACAGAAATGTATACATGTTTAACCAGTATCGTAAGTTAAATTGTATTTTTACATATAATCCTCCCCAGGTTCTCATGCAAGTCTAGAACGATACGAACGACTTGCAGTTCAGATTGCTTGCAAGTTAGAAATAATAAACCACAATTGCCGATTAACTATAACGAACAAAGCCAGAAAATTCCCGTGTGTGTAATTTATATGCATCGCCAGAGAGGTAATCAGAACAAGAAAAACTCGAAATGTAGTGGGCTGGGTTTGTACTCACACACTTTTGGGTAAAACTGGCACAATATCGCTAATAAAATCCTTGTTCGTGTTGCCCCCAAAAGACGTGTTGGTACATAGAACAAGGTCGTTTGGGAAAGCCAATAAAACGTCAGTATCATTCCGAGCCGTACGTGGTTCATTCTTTGAGTTCATGGACGGACTGCAAGTAAACTACATTCAACCTACTCAAGGAAGTTAATTTCTTTTTATCAGTAATGTGAGACTATGCGATAGACCTGTCACGAATGGGGACTTGTGTAGCCTGGCTTATGCTGGGAATGCAATTCGAATTTTGGATCGAGTCTGATATCACGTCACCTATGTCATTTGATAACCTGCATCCCTATTCACGAAGAAGCCTAGAAATAACTAGCCTGGTTAGCTCCCAATTGTTTTGTGGGTTCTTTCCACAAAGTCTAAATTTCACCTCTACGGTTAGTGTGTGACAGTAATGTTTCCTAATAACAGACGACAATCTTCCACACGCCCTGCATCTAGGAATAATTGACATGATTAATGAGAACAATCTGTTATGATGAGGAATATTTTGGTAACGAAACATCCATCAAGGCTCAGTATACGTACCCTGTAGTTAGTAGCTGACAGAACCATGATGACCATTTGTCATCGTATCCTCTATGCATTTTGTGGCTGTGAGTGTGCTCTGGTGGAGCCTTCTTCATGGCCCAAGGCGTATAATCTCCACACCAAAGATGGAGTAGTACTGGCTTAAAATAACGTCCCACTTCCAGGAATGGATATATGCATCCCCCGGGTCTCTGCACAGGACGTTTGTTGCAACAACACAGCTGAACATAACAGAATTTCTGGATATCATGAAGACAATATTTCTATGACCTGCTAAACCGGATCTTTTCAAATGTAGCAGTACACATCAATATAATGAACTTGATGAGCTGGATGGTCCAATTGTGCAACACAAGTTTGCCATATCATTTTTGGATGTGTAACCTTAATGCACAAAACTAAAGTGAATGTGAGTGACTGAAAACAATACAAAAGTCTTTTACAGTCAATGTAAGAAACTTCATCGGGCGTGTCACTTATCACCAGTTTCCGACAAATCTTCATTTTAAGGCAAAACGTTGAATTAATACTTTTGAAAGAGACAACATGCTGTAGTAGTGTGAATTTGTTTTTCATTGCTTCTTAACTCATCCACTTGACATGCCAATAGGGATTAACCTGCGAGGCCGAACACTAATGACTACTATAACAGTTTTTATTATTGATATATAGTACATAATATTTGGTAATCGTTGTTCTAAGTAACTATTCAAAATACCTAGACGTTTCGAGCAATTGCATATTTTGATAGCATTTAGGAAAATGTTTAAATGTATAGGTAGAACGTAAGAACATGCAAAACAACTATTACATGGAATCACTGAAAGATTCCACAATAACACATGTATACGCCACAGTGTAGTTTTTAGTACTGACCGGGCCTTATTTCATTTTCCCCCCAGATGGAGTACACAGTGACCTCACTTTACATCAAATACCATAGTTAATGGCAGTGGTAATGTTGGTCGTATTATTCCTTGTCTTGATGAATTGTTGAAGACATCACCGACTTCTGCACAACAAGCAAGCCTATTGATGATAACTCAATATAAAAACACACGTAAACAATGATATTCGTGAAGAGTTTTCTTTATTGTTATTTTTATTTCATATTTACAGGAGATGTTTTATTCTTTTTTTGTTTAGTTTGTAACAAACAGAATTAGAAATAACTGACCACGAAGTTGTTATGTAAACCGTGTGGATCTGTTTTAACAGCAAAAAAAAAAAAATAGAAACAATACTTAAAATCTGGATGGTAAGAATAAATTATTCTGACAATAGAAAATAAATGAATCGGACTCCAGTTTCTTGAAATGCAACTCAAATAAGAAACATGTCATGTTTGCTATTCCAGTTGCATTGCATAGACAAACACATACAACTATGATGAAAAAAATAGTGAGGTATGAAGGAATTATCTGTACCAAACAATTGCCTGCCAGTAATTGTGTACGTGGTATAGTACAAGATAAGAGTAAACATATTCCATATCTGAAATGTTACATGACTGATAGAAAAGATGGTCAATGAAAAATAGACGTATAAATTCACTGGCAGAAGGTTAAACAATTTGTTTTAGTGCTTATGCAGAAAAAAATAATATATACGTATTACTGGTATATAAAGATGAGCAAGAAGATACCATAATTAAATAATGTCCAAATAGAATTTCTAACATTAAACAATGAGGTTCAATACTTGAAATTCAAAGTGCAGATGCAATGTTTAACCATAAAATACATTATGT